AGAATGAGCTACAGTAGCTAGATTTGGAATGAATCTGCCATAAAAAGTAACAAGTCCTTAAAAGATTGGTAACCTGCCCATGTTTTTTGGCACCTTTGCATACTGTATTGCTTTGACCTTCTCTGCTGTTTTGTGGATTCCTTCACTGTCTATCTTGAATCCCAAATGCACAGCAGAAGGTACTTCAAACTCACATTTGTCTTTATGGATCTTCAGTCCATGTTCTTGAATGTGCTTTAACACAACTTGTAGTCTCACCCTATGCTCTGTTACATCTTTCCCAGTCACTAATATATCATCTACAAAAGAAAATGTTCCTTGAGGGCCATTGAATATATGATCCATCGTTTGTTGCCATAGTGCTGGGCTACTGGATACTCCATAAGGCAAGCGAGTTGGACGATATAAACCCAATGTGTGTTAAGTGTGCATAACTCCCTTGACTTGTTATCCAAAAGTAATTGTTGAAAAGCATGTTTTAAATAAATTTTAGAAAATACACTACATCCACCAAGTGCAGCAAACAATATCATCTGGTTTTGGCAGTGGGTGCTGTGCTAATTCCAACTGGGGATTCAGATACACTTTATGATCTCCACATAACCTTACATTACCATCACTCTTTAGCCACTGCGACCAAGAGTATACCCCATGCTGAATATGTTACCTTTACCCATGTTTTCCTGGCTTCTAACCTATGTATCTCTTGCTCAGTTAGTGGTTTCAAGGCATATGGAACTGGCCTGGGTGGAAGAAAATTTGGAGTAGCATCAGGCTTCAATGATAAAATAGCCCGTATATCTTTTACTGTACCAGGATTTTCATAAAATAGATCTCCAAAATTCTCTAGTATTATATTTCCTGAAGGAACTCTTGTGCTTTGTACTCTGAAAATTTCATGCCAGTCAAGTGGAATTTCTTTCAACCAGTCCAATCCAAACAAAGAAGGACCATTACCCTTGACAATGATAATTGGCTTACAGTATTTCTATGTACACACTCTTTGTACCATAGACCTATCACTGCACTACCGACTACAGGAATATCTTTATAGTTGTAGTCTTTCAGTCTCTCTTTACTTTCTTGTATGTGTAGGTTAGGAATAGACCTTGCAACTAGTTTTGGACATAACTGAAATGTCTGCTGCTGTATCTAATTGCATTTTTAGGGGTTTGTCATTTATGTGTACAGTACTTGTAACATTACTCTTTGTCTGTTCCTGGAAACTAAATTTATTTTGAATGCAAAATCTACTGAATTGTGATCTTGTGTGGTTTTAGGATCATCCTGATCTTGCATATCTCTGGCAGCATGAATCTGTTTTGTTTTACTTGAGTAGGACCTGGACTTACACATTTTAGCAAAATGACCAAGTTTTTGACAAACATTACATTTCTTTGTGGCTGGACATTTTGTTCTGTGTTGAGAAAACAAATCTGTATTACCATACCTGTAACATTCTTTCTGAGAACCTGACTTTACGTGCTCCTTTTCTCTAGTTTTATGTTGTGACTCTCTTATAGTTGCGCTATATTTTATTATGTCTGAAATTATTTAAATTACTTTTATAAGGTTGATTTTTCTTCTCCAATGCAACCTGAGACTCTCCTTGGCCTCCCATATCTGCTGCTTGGCTTTCTACAGTCTCCATAGACCTAGCAATCTGTAAGAGTGTCTTAAGAACAAGTTTTTTTTATTCTAACAATGCCTTTTTCATCTGATAGAAAACACAATGAAATATAAACGAATCAACAATTCTATCTTCTGCATCTGGAAATTCACGTGTTTCTGCGGCTTTTCTTAACCTGATAACAAAATTATCCACTGTCTCCTTGGGTTCTTGCTTCACCTGGAGAAAACGAAATCTCTCATACCTCTTGTTCCTCTGTGGTAAGAAGTGGTTGTTGAGGGCTGTAAAGGCTACTTTGTAAGTTGTCTCAGTAACTCCCAGAGTCTCAAAGATGCCTTGAACCTCCATACCTGCTGCATTAAGGAGAAGTGCTCTCTTCTGGCCATCTTCTAATTTACCTGTTGCCTCCAAGTAGTACTAGAAGGCTCTCCTCCAAACCTTCCATCTTGGAGCAACTGACGAAGGTTCCTCAGCGACCGAAAAAGCTGGGGGTGGTGGCAAGTTCAGTGGCTTGATGCATTGTCAACCTCTTGAACTTCTCTGCCTGCGCTTCTCTCACCTGCTGTCATCGCCAATTTGTTATGTATGAACCAAGCCACATCACATACCTGCCAACAATGATTATTGTCACTTGTCATGACTCATACAACTCTGCATTATAATCCCATCCTTGTCGCCACATCACATACTTGCCAACAATGATTATTGTCACTTGTCATGACTCATATAACTCTGCATTATACAGTAATCCTATTCTCGTTGTCAACGTTCTGGTAGAGAATCAGGTATACGGGATGACTTATACGTCCATGGTGTGGGTTTTCTTGTCTTTATTGCACACAGAGTTAACTGCCAAAAGCACCGTCCAAAAAGTATAAGTACAGACACAAACTTGTTTACTCATCGTGTACAAGCGTCCAACAAAATAGAATCACGGGAAGGCATTTAGCATATAAAGTGATATAAACTCGGTGCCGGATTTAGACCTGTGGAGGCCCATGGGCAGCCTCTTTGTGGAGGCCCCCCTCATTATAACTACGCAAGAGGGTGAGGTGGCGAGTGAAGCGAGCCTAAACATCTGGGAGTTACAGCCCCTGGGAAAATTTTGAAATTTTAACACTTCTTTGGAGAATTTTGAAGCCATATGCAGTTATATTGAGGAAATTAGAACACAGCGCCCTGATGGCATTCGTAATGGAAGTGATAATGAAAAAAATATTTTTTGTTTTTTTTAATCTCAATTTCGTTATTCCATGTAGTACATTTTTAATCATTATATGTTTGTGGAATTTTAAATATATTATTAGCAACACAAACAATAGCATTCATTAAAAATATACGGTTCATAGGAAAACCAAGTATTCATGAATTTCAAGGAGTAGCTAGCCTAATTGCTATCACGCTTCTTGCTGAACATAGTTTTACGTGATGGAATAGATAAACATGAATTTTAAAGAATGAAAATAAAAATAATCCAAATGAATGAACAAATAAATAAAATATTGTAATATATGGAGGCCCCCAGATTGTGGAGGCCCCTGGGCAGCTGCCCACTCCTGAATCCGGCCCTGCACGCTTTGGTGGGTGCTAACTCATATTGTCCTTAAATCATGTCAATATTGTCTCCGTATCATAAGTTATAGCGTGTCCTGCGAGACACGAGTACCAATGTATTAGTGTCTGAACTGCTTGGTCTTGTGACTAGGGTTGTCGCCCCCTGGGGTGTAATAAATGAATTAAATAATAAATAATAAGTCCAACATGACTAAACAGACACCCACAAGCAGCAGATGCAAGTTGTGGGGTGTTAAGCTTCAGAGATAAGTCACATAATGTTGGGAAAGACCTCAGTAGCTCCATTCCAGCCCCTAGGGTCTAGGCATTCCAAGTAGCTATCAAAGCTCCTTCACTTGAGGAGTTTGTAGATGATTATTGCTTCCATAGTGACTGAGTTTGACTAAAAAGACTCGGTGAATTGTCCCTATAATTTGGATGTGACTGTGGTGACGTCACTTTTTTATTCTAATTGAAGGGTGGCTGAAGTTTTCACACTACATAACATCTGGTGGTTGCTGGTGGGGCAGCAGCGGTCATAGTTTTTTAAACAGAATTTTAAATACTCTCAATTTCACACACATATATATATATATAGATACAAGCTTTATGTTTAAGATGGGATTATGTAAAACATTTTAGAATCACAGCCTCTGAAATTAATTTTTGGTAAAGGTACTGTATATGCAAAGAGCAACTGAATGTCTAACTGTAAGACCAAACCCCTGAAGGAAAGGTGGGGGAGAGAAGGGGGGGGGATAAGAGGGTAGGATGGGTGGTCAAGGTGCTAATGGACACAGAAAATGAAAGGGAAAGTCCACTGCCACCTGATGAAGTTTCTAACTTAATTAGAAATGCATTTATGGACTGGTAATTTAGACTCGAGGAAAACATCCCCAGCACCCAGAAACATTATGGGGAAGTGGGCTAATGTCCGTGTGTGCAAGATGTCTAGTCTAGACACTCTGAAACTTTTCCCAGTAATCTGAAAAGATTCCTGGGATAAGGAATTTTTCCGTGTTTTAGAAAGTCATCTTGTTAGCCGGAAATCTCTTATCCCCGGAAGTGCTCTTCACCAATTGTTCCAGCTAACGGGGATATCACTGTAGTGTACATCGTATTACAGTGATATCATCGTTAGCTGGAACAATTGGTGCAGAGCTTTTCTGGGAATGAGATTTCTGGGTGACCAGGCGACTCTCTCAAAGCTGAAAAAGAAAATCCTTCATAGCCGGAATTTTCTGGGTAATGGGAAAATTTTCTCATAAATTCCAAAAATTGCCCATTACATCATCTCTCGAACCCGGAAAAATTCCTCGTCCCGAAATTTTTCGGAAATTTCCGGGTAACGGAAAAATGTTCTCGGAAGGTCCAGAAATTGCCCATTACATCATCTCTTGATCCCGGGAAAAAATCCATCCCAGAATTTTCCAGGTAACGGAAAAATTTTCTCGGAATTTCCAGAAAATCCGCCTGATTTTCTTCTCAAACCCGAAAAAAATCCCCCATCCTCAGAATGTTCTGACCCCCGGGAAAAAAATTTCTGAATTTTCAGGAAAATGTGCCCCTCAGAAAATCGTTCCCAAAGTTGGAATTTTCCAGATAATTCCGACTTTGGGAACGATTTTCCGAGAAAATTTCAATTTCTTTTATCAGAGAGTTTCTGGTTTGAGGGATATCCTTGGACATCATGTTCATGATAGTGTCCACTTTATAAGGGAAGCCTCATGGTCACAAACGTTTTGGTAGACAGATACATTACTGTATAGTATTTATAAATAAAGTTTCTGTGTCTGAATCTGAAACTTAATTACAGGTGCTTGGAACCATTGCTCTTATTGATGAAGGAGAGACTGACTGGAAGTTAATTGCCATTGATGTCAATGACCCAATGGCTCCACAGCTGAGTGACATATCTGATGTGGAGAAGCACATGCCAGGCTTCCTGAAAGCCACTGTGGAATGGTTTAGGATTTACAAGATACCAGATGGCAAACCAGAGAACCAATTTGCTTTTAGTGGAATGCCTAAGGATCGAGATTTTGCTCATAAGGTTTGTGTTAGCTTGAAATTTCTTTCTTAAGGACAATGCAAGTTAAGTAGGTTAAAAAATAATAATTTTGAATAAATACTTTTCAGCCCACTTATACTTATGACACTTTCCTAACTCTTAAAAATACTGTACTGCAAAGTAATTTATATTTATTACTCTTATTTACTGATATACATTGAGTTCCAAGTTAAATTTCTGGTCCAGATGTGAGCCATTCTTGTGAGAACTTCTTCATTATTACCAAGTACAACCATTTTTCACACTTGCATGGGGTAGCTGTGGTTACCTTATGGCAGCTCTATATTTTGCATGGTCTCATGCTATCTCTTTTATCAGGTTCCTATGGTCTCGTGCTATCTCTTTTATCAGGTTCCTAACTCTGTCATTTCTTATAACCTCCCCCCATGTCATTCTTGGCATACCCTAGGTTTTCCTCCCCTCCACATAATAAAAGAAAGACTTTTAAAACTGTCAACATACATACTTTTTTGCTTAATTCAGAAAGAATTACTTTGCTTAAATTGTACAAAATTTGTTGTCTGATAGATCATCATGGAGACTCATGAAGCATGGCAGAACTTAATAGAGGGAAAGTCTGATGCTGGTGGATTAAGCACAGCCTGTGTGTCTGTTCCCAATGCAGCAAACAAGGTTTCACACACTGAGGCTGCAGCAGTTCAAGATGCCTCTCCTGAACCTGGACCAGGACAGACTGTAGATCCCAAGGGTGAGCAAAAACTCTATTTTATTTTTTTATTTATTTATTTTTTCAAGGAATCTGTAGCTGTATATTTTTTAATTTTTAATTTTTTTTTTTTTTACTTTACTTAATAAAGGGCATAATGGGTACTGAACATGGATATCTAAAATGGAAGGCAGAGATTTTTATTTTTTTATTTTATTTTTTTTAAAGATAAAATAGGTAAGTTTACATGTTCATTACCCCTTTGCACAACACAGTTTTAAATATTAAATTATATTTAAGAGTAAATAATTTATATTTATTTTATTTTTTTAAATAATAAGGATATGGTCAAGAATTGAAAGTGTTTAGTAAGTTAAGATAAAGGGACATAGTGATGACCAGGCTTTTATGTGTGTGTGTATGTAAGAAGAAATAGTGACATGTGAAAAATAGGCCCTAGTAATCCTGGTTTAAGGATGAGAAATGGATACTTTGACATGTTAATTTATAAAATGTTAATGCAGAAAAATGGATGTTTGGCATGTTTTAACAGGAAGAAATCCAGAAGTCACTTGTGGGAGACAGTAAGATCACTTGGTAATAGTAATCCCCATGATGTAAAGTTGAATATGAAATTTTTCACCCTTCAAGGAAGCTTAATTTTTTTAGTAGTATATTCAGTCCATACAAATAGAGGAGCAATAACTTATACATTAATTATACAGAAAAAATAAATCATATTTCCTATATCACTCACAGTGGAGATTAATATAGGAACTCTCTAGAGATAGGTACATAGACATTGTTTTTAAATTAGAGTGAGGGAGATTCTAGCCCCCATAAGGATTTAAACTCACAATTATATTTCCTATTTAATTCCTCTGTATTTTAAGTTTTAGCTGGCCTAACTATAGTGCGTTTCTCCCAGCTGAGAAGAGATGCCCCGCCCCCTCCTCAAGAGTTACAGCAGATTGGTTGTTGCAATCTGTCCGATTTCGTCCTGAAGTAATGATGTATTTCAAAATGAGTTAATTCGTAATCATTGGGATGACTGTTTCTGATGAGAAAGATATTTAGCTAATTTATATAAAGATACATACATTCATTATTTTAAACATGAGCACGTAGGAAGTTTATCAGAATTCTTATATACAGTACTACCCCGATTTACGCGGTCAATTGAACCCTCGGAGTAGCGCATAAAACGAGAAACGCATAAATGGAATAACAGAACATGTGGGATTAATTGAAATAGAGACTGGGCCGACCCCCAAACTCCACTTTTTCAGACACAATACCTACGTTGTAGTAAAAATAGTATCTTAACTTTATGATGGTATGCACACACACATAATATAGAAGAGAAATACAGTGAGTTCTGCTATAACGCGTGTTTTGATAACGCGAATTTGCTCTAACGCGATTTATGAATTCGGAACAATATTTGTATAACGCGAACGCTTGTTTGCTATAACGCGATTTTTGCTTACTATTTCTCCAATTTTGTGGTATTAACTGTGAATATGGTAAAGAAGAATATCTCCAGAAAGCGTTCTGATGATAGAATTCCCGGTGATTATCGTAAAAGAAAGGATATAACACTTGAAGAGAAGCTCGATGTTATCAACCTCAAAATCACCCTTCTCCCCATCAAGTTACATTCATATTTTTCAAGGCAAGAGTATTAAATTTATAGCATGATTTCATTATTAGATATAGATGTAACATTTATTAGACATGCTGCTTTCCTTTGTGTTAGGCTAACTACTAAATTTTTTCGATTTCGAGTAATCTGCACCTAACCCTATTTTCTCCATAAGCCCTGTTATTTCTATTACGCGATTTTCTATAACACGATATTTTACAAGAACACAATTATCGCGTTATAGCAGAACTACCTGTATCAATAAGAGAATAATATACTGTACCAAGTAAAAGAAAAATCAAGGCTTAACACTTACATCAGGTTAGAAAAAATCAAGGTTTAACACTTATGTAAGGTTAGGTAAGACAAAAATCAAGGTTTGAATCAAAAAATGGCGGCCCCGCATGACTGCCAGCCGCTCTCCGTGTACCGTATATCTCGGCTTATAAGACGGAATTTGAACATTAAAAAAAATCTGCCCAAAGTTAGGGGGTCGTCTTAATCACCAAGTATGAAATTCTTACCTCTTAAATATTGCGGTTTAGCGTGTCAAGAGTGGTGATGGAAACATGGTAAACCACTCACAAAGTCCTACCAGGGAAAGTGACCTTGACTGTGACCGCCTGTGGCTATTTTTAGCCGTCCTTGTGTTCGGAGGTGGTCAGTAATGCATATCTGTATATTTACTGATCATAATACTTATCTCCTATAAATAATTAATTTAAAATTAATTTTTTTACAAAGAATATTCAGTAAATGACTGCGTTAATTCTTGAAACTACCGACAGTGGTAAATTTAGGATATAAATGATGAACAGAAGTCACGTCATGGATTCGGAGTTTGGTCCTGAATGATCACCTACTAGTTATAATGCTAGCCTCCCTTTTTCGCGAAACAAGTATATAAATTAAAGAAAATACTTGGTGTGTTTAATGTATTACAGTATATTATAAATAAATAAATAAACAAATAAATCGGCAAATCTATTTCAAGTAAATGGAAATATTTTACTCACACCAACATTAGTTCCAATTAAATAACTGCCGCTTAAGTGAGTCACTAGTGTACACCAGCCCGTAAAATTTGATGCCAATACTTGAAGTGAATTGGCATTATTTTAAATAACCAACCATAAATAAATGGATAAAAGATCAAAGATGAGAAACATTATATTGTATGTATGTTGTGTTGTCAAAGGAAGAGAAACAATTGAAACTCTGCAATTGTGTGTAAATGAGGCAGAAAGATAAATCAGCAACCTAAGACTTGGTCCCAATTTTCGTGATGCCATATGGAAGTAGGGTCTACCATATGTATGTGTATGTATATATGTGTGTATGTATGTGTGTGTATGTATGTATGTGTATGTATGTATGTGTGTGCATATATATATATATATATATATATATATATATATATATATATATATATATATATATATATATATATGTGTTAGTAATGTGTGTGTGTGTGTGTGTGTGTGTGTGTGTGTGTGTGTGTTACCG